TATTCCAAGAACAAAGAAGTGTCACAGGCACGGTGGGGACATTATGGGTGAACAGGCGAAGGGACAGGGCAGCATGTTGTAGGCACTTGAGGCTCTGACAGGACAAGCACCGGCCATGCCACTTGAGCCAAAGCCACCTGGGCAAAGAGTGAGACTATATCACGGGTGTCGCCACAGTTGGCTGCGTTGAGACGAGGTGCTTTGCCTTGGGAAGCGGCTGTAAGCTCAAGACTGCTGGCCCTGAGCCAAAGAGATTTGCAGCATGAACAGGAGAAATTCCACTTTGTCAGGTAACCTGGGGAGGCAGTGCTGTTGAGAGGCTAAAGTCGAGGGCTGGGACAGGGGTGGGCACGTGAGTCAGGGAGCTCCACGGCAGGGGGCTGTTGGCCTGGCCAGGAGATGCTGCCAAGCCCTGACCTTAGGACAGATCTCTGAAGATCAGATTATCCATCTGCAAAATGCCACACATGCGCCTGCCCTGATTATTTTTACACTGGTACTGTGGAGCGTGCTATGTTACCGCTGAAGAATGTGCTCATTCCTTGGGTAGCAATACCCTCTCCATTTCCTTTCCAGGGCACTAAGGATGCAACATGCATTTGTGTCTGGGGACCACTTGGAGATGTTACAATGCACAAGTTGTGAGAGGCAACATTTGGACCCCTGATCAGCAGGTGCTGGGGTGTCACACAGGTTCCAGCCAGGCAGGTCAAGAGGGAAGCCAATTGCTGGGGGACAAGCTGCACACTGATGGAGGGAGACCCCTTTCCTCACTCCCTCTCATGGGGAGTCCCCGCCAAGGAAGAGTGAAGGGGAAGAGTAGCCAAGAGAGGAGGCAACTTGGCCTTCAAATAAGGGTAAGGATCGACAAGGGCAACTCAGGATTTAGAGGAGGCTTCCAGAAGCCTTTTCTGACAGCTGTTCCAGGAGAGCCAGCTACAAGGGAGGAGAAGGAAGCCCTGCTTTTTCAAACATCTGAAGAGCAGGTGAAAACCCACCAGGAGCTAGTCTTGGAACTAGCTACTCCATTCATCAGCCACCACAAGTGGCAGCTCAGATTGGAGGACAATGCGGATGCCGTTCATTTTGCCCACAAGGAGAGAACTGGCCAGGGAAATACAGGTGCAGGCTGGAAACCGAGGCTGCTTATGTACAAGTCCAGTGGAAGTCTGCCTAAGTGTGGGGCCCAGTTTTCCTGGGATCTGGAGCTGGGTGACCTCAGAGACAGGGCTCTGCATCGGTGTGTGTGGCACCCTCGGGGCACTCTGTGACAGGAACTCCCCTACTCCATCTGGACAAAGAGGCCCACAGCAAGAGCTCCACTCTGGCTGAGCAATACCACGTGCTATTGTGGTCAGCTGTCCCCAAACCATAAATGAGTGTCTGAGAGCTCAGGGGGCTGGCCATCAGCACAAACAGTGCCTAGATGGTGTTAGTTTGAGGCCACACCCATGCATGGCAGGACCGTGGGGTTGGGAATGTGGCCAGTCAAGACAAATCCACTTGGAACACTGGGGAGTGGGGAAACGGTTCATGGAACAGATACTCTTCAAATGCTTCTCCTCAGGCTCCAAAAAGGACAGAGACAGCACCTGGTATGTTCACTGTGGTACCCCAGTATGCCTGGCATACAGCAGGCACTCAGTAAAGGCTTTCTGAATGTCAGTGCCCGAAGAATCCTAAGGGAGATTAGACCAGCATTTTCCAGCTAAGTAACCCGGGAAGAGCTGCAAGCTGGGTCCCTCATGGCAGACTGACAATGCACGTTTACATACGAGTTAATGGGGCTGAGTCATCCTAACCCAAAGAAGTTTGTTTTCCTAATGTTTTCCCGACATATGTGCCCATGGAACAGTTTCTCATGTGTTGCTTATTCACATCTGACCAGAGGAATGGGGTTGGAAATGATGGTATAACCACATCATTCTTCAAAAAATGAAATAGGCACTCAGAGAACCCAAGCGATTTGCTGAAAGTCACACAGCACACTGGTGGTGGAGTCAGGACTGATGCTTAGGTTCTCCAACTTGGGGCTCAGTGTTTTTCCCACTGAAGGCAGCATGGAGGCTGGGCTTTGTTGGACAATGCCATTAGGCATTTCTTCAGACAGTGCAGGGCATGAATGTCCCTTTGCATGATCTAGAAAGCAAGGGCTGGTTTAACAAATTAAACCAGATTCATCCAAATTAAACCAGATTGCAGGGGCAATGTTTCACCTACTTGAAAGCCTTTACAATCACTTTAGCTTCAATGCATGTATTAATTACCGACAGTTCTTATTGTTTCCTTAACGCTAGTTGCTGAAGTCCTCTGTTTGGCAATCCTGGTAGCAGGGCGGTAGGTAGAGGCTGCATGTCATCTCAATACCACTGAAGTCCCTTTAAAAATGTCTGTTGTCCAGACATCCCCCTACAGCCCTTGGGTTATTTGAAACAAATTAAGGATTTTTTTCCTTTGCACCTTTGGTGCTGCGTGGGGCAGCCAGGGGTTGCAGAAATCAGCAATTTGCATGTGCATCAGATGTATTGCAGAGCTCCAGCAGCTGCTACAGGGGCAAGGTCTGCAGAGTTTTGCTGGAGAAGAGGGTGTCATGCCCACCGCCTTCCTGGGTTTCTCAGTTACTCCTTCCAGGCATCTTGTAGCACTAGTTCCACCCTGGGCAGGGGCTGGACTGCCTTGAACCCTGGCCATTGTCCAGACCAAAGCCTGGAGACCTAGAATCAGATTCACGACCTGGGGGTTGTGGTGGGGGTGGGGTGAGGGAGGGAGGTTGGACAGCTCAGTCCAACCTGGTTGGTAGAGGAAGAAAGAGGACCAGAGTGCACACATGACTTGCTCAAGGTCACACAGAGAACTAGAGTAAATCCATATTTCCCAAGAGGGAAACATCTCAAAGGCAGTGAATTTTGAAATGTCTAAGCAGGAGGAAGCCTCCCAGCTCAGGGCACTCAGAGAGGAGAAGCCACCGCCAAACTGGTACCAGGGCTGAGACCTGAGTCTGGGTGTTCTGACTCACAACCTGACAATTTTCCCATTAGTGGTGGGCCAGGATGTGGATGCCACTCCCTCCATCCTAATCCTAAAACCAGGGCTGCTGGCCGCATAGCTACAGAAGTATTTTTTGGAGGGGAGGGGAGTATACAGGGAGATGATGAGGCTCTCCTCACATGAACAGGACAACCTAGAGTCCTTATCCCCTTTGGTGGCACTGACTTTGAGCCAACACCCCAGACTGGCATCTTGCCTCATGTGGGGTCACGATGGCCACAGCATCAGAGGCTGCCTGGCTGGGTCCTCCCAGAGGGTAAGTCTGTGGCAGAGCCAGCCAGTGAAGCAGCAACAGGACTGTATCTTAAGTCTTTGGAAGGGCTGCTTGTGCCGGGAGAGCCCCTCCAGGGAGATTTCGCAGCACAGCAGGGGGCAGGGCAGGGTGGGGCTAGGTTTCCCCAGCGAGGGGCAGGGTCCCATGTCCTGCCGGGCAGGCTTTTCTCCCTTCCTACCCAGTGGGCCTTCTGTTGGAGCCCCTCCCTCCCTCCAGCCCCTGCTAAAGACTGGACATTGCTCGAGTCTCCATGAGGCTGGGACTCATGCCAGAGCCCACAAGGCCGCCTTGGGTGGGTTTGATAAGGTGAGCCCTCAAGGTCTCTCTGAAGAGGGAGGCCTGTGGGGCCTCATGCCAGGGTCTTGGGGACCACTCCTGGGAGAGCAATTTGATGAGAGGCTAAGGCCTTGGAGAGAGGGGGTGCATGGATCAGACTGGGGCCCCAAGCTGGTGGGGTTCCTTAGTGAGGTCCAGAGCCCCCTCCAGGGGAGTCTGTGGAGCAGAAGAAATGTAGTTTGACATCAGCTGTGAGGAAATCTGAGGCTGGGGTATACCAGCCCCAACTTGGGTATCACACGGTGGGCAGGAGGCAGGGAAGCCCCCAGAGGCTCTTGCTTTGAAGGTTCAAGATTCTTTCATTTCACCAAAAATATCATGCCCTCTAGCCAAAGCCACTATCATCAAATGCACTGCAGCCAAGCATGGTTCTCTGTGGCAAAAATGCCCCCCTCTCCCACCACATGGCATGGCTAGAGAGGCCCCCCACTATCCCAGAATGCAGTGTACACGGAGGTGCCACTCTAGCCCTCAGCACAAGCGATGGAGTTCCCTTTACCCATTTCCTGAAAGTGTGTAAATTATTTAAGGGGTTTGTTTTCTTCACTGACTTCTCTATTCTTTTTGGACTATTTTGGCACAGACTGCAGCTTAAATCTAACACTTTGGTTCGCAGGGCGTCTCCCCTAATCCTGTCTACCACCTCTTCTTAGATAGGAAGCCACGAATAATCTGCAAACCAATACTAAAATGTACTAAGGGAGCTTCCTAACCTAAAGAAATGGCCCTCATGTGACTCTTTTGTAACACATTGGAAAAGATGGTTTTTCAGGTGGCTTGTAAGTCAGATTCTGGGGTCCTAGACTGTCACCGTGCAGACAAGAGCCTATCCTGGGATACAGCAGCCAGAGGTGGGCCCTCAGTGCCTGGATGCAAGCTCATAGGTCGGGTCATGTATAGTCGCTGGGTTCTCTGATGTCCCTTTTGATTTGAGGGGGCATTGCTATCTCTACTCCATGCCCACATGATCTACATCCAGAGAGAACTCAGGCTTACACTGTATTTTCTCTTGACACCTGCCAGTAGCAATAAGCCCCAGGATTGCCTGAATGTCTGGGCAGAAAGGAATCTTTGAACCGCCTAGAAATCTAGTCCAACTCCCTCATCTCACCCTCTTATTTTATAGATGGGGAAACTGAGGCCCAGGCAGGGGGCAGGCACTAGTCTAACATTGCACAGCTAAGTGATAGTAGAGTTGGGACTGAACTCCGGCCTCCCGATTGCCAGTCCAGGGCTTTTTCTAGCAACTGATATATTGGCTACAGCTTCAAAAGTTCTCCCCATCAGGCCGAAAGGATCTGTACCTCTCCTCCCCAACCCCAGCTTCCAACCCCCACCCCTGCTACACATAATTTGGGTTGTAGCAGAGCATATTGAACTCAAGGTTCTCATCCCAGTGCCGCAGGAGCACAAACAGCTGCCGGGCTGCGGCCTTGAGCGTGCCCCGCGTGCGGCCCTCGGGCACCTCCTGCTGCTCCAGCCACGAGCTGGCCTTGGCGGCCACCAGCTCCCACTCAATGAAGTAGGAGGCTGAGCTGTGCTCCAGCCACGCCAGCCCCACCACCGTGGCCCACAGCTTCCCTGTGTGCTCTACTACCGCCCTGGGCTCGAAGCCTGGCTTGCCCTCGGCTGGAGGCTGCAGGGAGAAGCTGTCGCAGGAGGAGTGCTGAGGAGAGGGGCTTGTCAGCTGGGAACTCGGGGTCTTAGACTCAGGCTGGCGGGCGGTGAGGGACACTCGGTGGCAGGTGAAGGGCGAGGTCCACTTGAGCTTCTCCATGGGGATGTGGATGGCCTCGCAGAAGGCTTGGTTGAGCAGGAAGGCTCCGGAGGCCAGTTGCAGAGACACCTGCATGTGGGGAGCAGTAGGCCTCAGCCCATGGAGCCCTGGGCCATGCCAAAGTCTGGATCTACATTGCCCCCCCCCCACCTTCCTGGGGAATTCTTGGGATGCTCAGACCAACTGAGCATCTCCATCCTTTATCCCACAGACACTTCAAACTGATCACTCTCCAAGCCCAGCTCAACATCTTCACTCTGAACCTGCCTCTCATCCTGGGCGTGTGGGCCCAGCTCGGCCACTGGGACTGTCCATTGCTGGGCAGCAGACTCTGGGCAGCTCATCCCCCTCTTCCTCCCTGTGCATCAATCAGTTCCCAAGTCCCAGCAGGTCTACTTTCTAAATAGCTCTGCAATCCACTCCTCATATCATCCCTGCCTGTATATGCTCCCCTCTCCCCCAACCCTATCCATCTGTCCTGCCTCCAGAGGGATCTGTAAGGCACAGATCATGTGCTTTTTGGAGAGTCAATTCAATGGCTTCAATTTTCTCTTAAGAGAAGCCCAAAATATGATTAGTAAAGCCCTGCATGACCTGGCCCCTCATTTGTCCTCCATTCTTATCCTTCCAAACTCCATTTTCCAGCTGCCAAGCTCTCTCTCTCCTTTCTAGGCCCTCAGTCAACTCCTTCAGGTCCTGGCTTAGCCATTAGCTTGTTCAGGAAGTCATTGACCCTCTGGCCCCTCAGTCCCATCTCTAGCCTGGGCTATGTGTCCACCCCTGCACTCCTCCACAAAACAGACCCTTTCTAGTGCAGCTTCCAAGGATTAGAATCGCCTGTTCCTTGTCTGGGTCCCACCAGATGCTTAACACCATGAGCACAGGGACTATGTCTAGTTCAAAGTTGTCTTGCCAGGGTCTAGCACTGCACCTGACTCAATAAATACTTGTTGACCCTGGATATTTGGAAATTCAAAAGGACACTATGCACTTGGCAGGAGATGTGCAGTGAAGCTCTAACTGCACCCTCCTTCGAGCACCCTCTGATACCCCGAGGGGCCCCAGATGTGGTAGGACCAGTCTCCCTTGCTCTTTAAGCTAGAGAAGCCCACTCCAGACCTGGGCTTCTCATCCTGCCATGGAATTGTGGGGCATCTGCAGAGCCATGTGCTGAACAAAGTGCATGTCCCTGGGGTGTTAATTTTACTCGCTCCTGAGTCATTTCAAAGCTTATTTTTATGTACTGAAAAACAGGCATGCATAGATGGTGGAGTAGAATGCAAAATTCTCATGAATTTTTGAGGTGAAGACAGCAGATTGCAAAGGTTTTTCGTGACACTGGTGCTGGCTTCTAGCAACACCTCTAGATCCCTGGGTGGGGGATACTCATGCAAACTCCCTCTGCCCAGCTGGCTACTTGGGTGAGAAGCTCTAAGAAGCTCCAGAACTGAGGGGATCAGAGCCCTAAGACCAAAGTCTTCTTCCCTTTGTGGAGGTGGAGGAGTGGGTGGAAGGCTCACAGGAAGGCACTGCTGCTGAGTGGGGCAGAAGTGGGGCTGAGGTCTGGGGAGAGGGCACTCACCAGCGGTACATAGTCCAAGCTCTGGCTCCCCGAGGTCAACTCTGGAGCTTTGATCAGTGGCTTGCTCAGGAAGCCCTTGGCTGCTTGCGTCAGCAGCCTGGACTTGTGGAGATTCAGCCTGTGCAGGGGGAGTCAGGTGTCCTTGGTCATCCCACCCCCCAGTGCCCACCCAGAAGCCTCTCAAGGTCAGGGCCAGAAGGGATTCAACAGATGGCCTCCTCCAGTCTCCTCATTTGACAGCTGGGGAAATAGAGGCCTGGGGAGGCATCTGTCCCTGGTCACTTAGTGAGTTAGCAGCAGCAGGTACCAGGAGCAGATTAGTGTTCTTTTTATGACCCTCTTTTGATATTGTATTCTTGTCCAGCCCAGTGGTCAGAAGAGTCCTGTGCTAGCCCTCCCAGAGGTATCTGCATTTGAAAAGAGGTGTAGGGGTTGAACTACAATGGGGGAGTTTAGGCAGAGTGAAACCTGGAAAACAGGCATATCTCTGGGTAGGAGGGCTTCTTAGCATCCATCTAAATGTCAGGCTGACCTGCCTTTGGCCTTCCAGGCCTGGAATAACCTCAGGAAAATGGGTGTCAGTAGAGTGTAACTTCATTGGCCATTTCACTTACCTGGATCCAAAGAGAGTCTCTGAGCTCTTCACGGAAGAAAGGGTATTGGTGGTCAGACTGTGCGGCGGACCTGGAGAGCCCCAGAACAACAGAGTTGAGGCCTGACAGATGACCCTGTCCAACTGCTCACTGCCCAGCTGGGGAAATAGAGACCCAGAGAGGGCCAGGGGCTTGCCTACATCCCTATGTCCCTAGGGATATGAGCTAAGCAATTGGCTGTAGGGCTGTTTATGACCCAGTTGGTATGGGGAGGGGTGAAATATGTAAGAAACATGTAAGAAAGTGGCTTCCGAGTTTCGTTGGCAGGCAGTTCCTGGCATCTTCTGAAAGGTTACTGTGGGGACAGTGAGAGCTTCACATCAACCTGCCTTATTCCCAAATGGGTACATTGTGTTGACCTCCCCAGCACATTGCTGCAGGACTCTATGCAGAGTGGGGTGGTAAAATGGTCCTGCAGCTGGGAATTAGGAGGCCTGACTTCAGGTCCAGCTCTGTCACTAACTTGTGTATGACCTTGGGCAAGTCGCTCTACCTCTTCAAGCCTCAGTTTCGCCATCTTTAAATTGGGGATAATCCTATGCACCTCACACAGGCCAGTTTTGAGGAATCCGTGAAGCACTGAGGACTTTGTTGGTGCTAAGACACTCTCCTCACCCCAGCACTAATCACTATTATGGTCTTAATTAGGAGAGAGACGGTGCTGATTGCCCTTCACCTTCGGAAGCAGCATGCCTCTCGAGCTGGGGGACATGGTCTCAGTGAAGGGCACGGCTGGACCCTCTTACACACCTGCCGTGGAGGAAGCCAGTGAGACCTGTCTCTCCGGGTCCCCCCTTTCTCACCTCCCATCCCCCCAAGCTGGGTGATGGTCTAATTCCCAATGCCTGGGGTGGGCTGGGGGAGAGAGGTCAGGGTTTCTATCCCTGCTTGGATGGGCCTTCATCTTCCAAAGGTCAGACATGCCTGGGTTCAAATCCCAACTCCCCACTGACTCGCAGTGGGGCCTTGGCAAAGTTGCTTTCTCTATAAGTTTTGATTGCAAATTGGGAATAATGGTACCTATCTCACAGTGTTGTTGTAAGGATTAAATGAGAAAACACACAGATAGTGCTTAGTGCCTGGCTAAGTGCTCAATAAAGCCCTGAGCTGCAGATCCAGCAGGGAAGCAGAAGGGGCCTGAGGGTGGGGCTGGGGGTTGGGCACGTCCTCACCAGCTCTGTGCCTCACTGAGGAGGGGCTCATGCCAGCTCTCCAGGAGGCACCAGAACATGACACTGACTTGTCAGAGGGCTCCGAGCCTCAGTTTCCCCAGCTGTGAAATGGGGATAGTAATCCCACATACATTGTTCAAAATGTATAATTGAGGTGATTGTTTCTATTACTATTTCAAGGGCTAGTGAGTGATGGGGCAATCCGCTCTAAAGGAGTAATCCAAATTTCAGTATAGAAAAACTTCATGCACATACATGATCAGCAAAGCCTCTGTCTCCCACTGTGAGACTGTTAGTGCTGTGAGGGCCAAGGTGGAGGTCTGCTTATTGCCCTGAGCACCCAGCACAAGAGTGACCTAGTGACTGAGCCAGGGATCAGACCCCCCCCCCCTCCCACAATCAGGCACACCACTCCAGTGCCTCAGGGCCCACCTGGTGTCCCGAGGTATGGAGCCAGTGACCAGACACTCCCCACAACCAGGCACACCACCAGCACCAAGGAGCATGCCATGTGAGTGGCCCACCACAGCCACCACTATAACCACGGCTGCCACAAAAGTGGCTAGATGCCACAACCACCACACAGATGGCCTGCCAACCACTGGAGTGCATTGACACAAGAAGAGTCACTAGCAGAGATAAAGAAAAGAAGAGGACATCTCTCTTCACAAAGCCCATTTCAGAGTGACAGAAGAAGCATCTGCTCTATGATAACATTGGGGGACCTGATCACACCTCTCAGCATCAGACAGATCATCTAGGCAACAAATCAACAGAGTAACCATTATTCTTTCAGAAGGAGAGAAGAAATCTAGGGTAATTAGTGGGGGGAGGGAAGGGAAGGGGGAGAGATTGGACAAGGGGCAAAAGAATCATTACGATTTGTAACAATATATATGCTAGTAATATTGATTTGATCAACATATCTCAATGTTGAACCCCAAAATTTGTATAATCAATTTTGATTCAATAAAAATTAAAAAAAAAAAAAAAGAGTGAACTAGTGACTGCATGACTGAGGCAACCGACAGGAAAATAGGATGCTGGTTAACCTCATGGACTGTGGGCCACACACTCTGTGGGTTCAAACCTCGGCTCCATCATGTATCAGCTTTGTGACCTTGAGTAAGTCACTTAACCTGAGCCTCGGTTTCCTCATTTCCTCTTCTCTTAATGTTGGAGTGGGGGAGGGGAGAAACCCTCTCAAGATGGTTGTGAGGAGTCATGGATAGCAAGAACAATGCCCAGCATATAGAAAACTCTGTGTTAGCCACTGTCTTTCTTAGGGAGGAAAGGGTATAGGTTGGAATAACCATTTAGAAGTCAGAGACACAGGCATGAATTAGAGGAAAATTGAAAGGAAGAGATTTGTGATTTTGATGGAAGCCGTGAGCCACCGAGTGCTGAACTGTGGAGAAAGCGAAGGGTAGACCAGAAATCTCCTGCAGACTGGAAGCTCAGCTTGGCTAAGGGGTAGAACTGGTGCCCCCAGGTTCGGGGGGCCAACGGGACCAAGAAGCTGGTAGAACTCCTTAATTCTAAAGAGCTCCTCTGGACTTCCACCCCGTCACACAGTGTTCCTTTTTTAACCCATCAGTGTCTGTAAACACTTCCTAGTACTTCTGGTAAAAAAAATACTTATGGTCTGGGAGGCTGGTTTAGTGGCCAGGAGGGACTTCTGATGTCCTTCCCATGCACAGCAGAAGGCAGGAGATTCTCACTGTGCACACGAGGGCACCAGGAAGGGTTAGAACCAGTGCAGCAGTTAGGCTGTCTTCAGAGAGACAGAAAGACACACATACATGCAAGGTCACCAAAAGGTCAAATCATGGCTCTTCAAGGAGCCAGGCTGCAGGAACAGTGAAGTCAGGTGGAGGCTGAAAGGAAGCTGTTGGGAATCCTGAAGGAAACAGATGGTGGGACCTAGACAGATGGTGGGACCTGCTTCTTTGTTCTTTGCTTTTCTCCTTGTTTATTAGGTTTCCTGGCGTTTGGTACCTGGGAGGACTCAAAGGCTGGAGGCAGGGAACAGCCACTAGGGTTGGGGGATCTTGAAAAGGTAGAGCTGGGGGATGGTGTGGGCACGTGGGCAGGGAGACAGCTGTCTTAGTGGTGGTGTGCTCAGGCCATGCTGAGCCCCTCTGCCCATCTTAGGCCTCAGAGAGCCTGGGAGGCCTGGCCTTGTCCCGGGCCTGCCTAAGGGCCCAGAGTGTGGACTCAGAGAGAGGTCTCTGCAGCCTCAGACATGAGGGTGCAGTAACTTCAAGGGACCAGGTATCCGATCACACCACATGGTGGCTCTTACTCAGGGTCTGAAATTTGCCATCTCCTGCTGCCGAGTCTTCTCTGAGCACAGTCTGGGGCCGTCTGAAGCCCACAGATGTGTCCCTCCACTGTCGGGACAGCACCCGAGAGCTGGCCATCCGCAGTGCAGCACCTTCATGGAGGACAAGAAGAAGAGGTCAGTTGGGTACAAAGGTGCCAGTCCTTTGCCTCTTCCCCAAGGCTGGCATTAAGGATTCTGGCGTCAATCTTTCACTTGTCCAAAGGCAGGAAAGCATTGTACAAGTTTAAGTCCGTGAACTTCAGAGGCAGAAAGACTTGGGTTTGAGCCCCAGCCCCATCTCTTACTAGCTGGATGGGGTGCTAACTACTCTGAGCCTTAGTTTCCTTATCTGGAAAATGGGGATGATACCTACCTTGCCAGGTAGGTGCTATTGCTGAGACAATGTTCAGGAAGAAGCAATGTTTTCTGGTTAGTTAAAAGGCTGGTGTTCGAAGGAACATCCCATTCTACTTGTCTCTGTTTGTTGTCTCAGAGACCCATGTCCCAGTTCCCCCTCCCACAGAGCAGGCCCCTGAGGTCCCAGGGCACCACTAACAGGAGACAGATAAGAGATGAACCTACAGCACCCTACAGTGTTTTAGGGAACCCCATTCTCAGAGAAGATTAGTGTGAGTTGTTCCTTAAAAAATAGAGTTCTGTTGGGAAATAAATTTTGGAGAAGCTGCATACTACAGCCCATTCTCTGAGCCTCTTGATGTATATATCATAGTAAAGGCTCTGAAGAGTTCTGCAGTAAAGAAAGCTTTTGAGCTTTATTTAATCCAGTGGTTTCTAATCTGGTATTTCCTATTTTTATGTGGGATGGCTATTCACAGAACATGAAACTAGGGTTCTGGTTTCTTGGAACACACTTGGGGAAGAGCTGATCCAGCACCCGTCCCTGCAGATCTGTGCTCCTTTGTGTCCCAGCCCACCTCCTCCAGTCCATGGGAGCTGCTTGGCCCTCAGGAGTGCCCTGCCTGCCTGCTTTACCAGAGTTGGGGTACTCCACCACGGTGGGCAGGTACCGGCTCTTGCTCATGTCCACAGGCACGAAGGCTGTGTATTTGCTGATGATGTTGCAGGCCTTGCTGGTGTGCACAGCATTCACTTGGTAGCGGTGGTTGGACCCTGTGGAGGGAGAAGCTGGGATCACTGTTTGAACCCAGAAAGTCCTCACTGACATGGAAGTTCTGGAAGCTAAAAGGAGGACTCAACAAGTGGTCCCCATCTTTGGGATTAAATGATCCCTTAAAATCAAGGGGTTGCCAACTTGCTAATTAGAGAAAAAATTAAAAAGCTATCGTTTCACAAAATAAAGGATATTTTAATGTAAAAAGGTAAGACATTATCTCAGAATAAAAGACAGCTACTTCTCTTAAATAACTTTAGTTGTTTTTTTTTAAACCCAACCTACTATGTTGCCTGTATTTTATATTTTAACTTTGTAGGTGTTTAATAGCAACCTTGCTGAAGGACTTTGTAAGTCCCCTAACTGGTGTTTGGGGACCACCAATCTGATCTATTTAACTGCTGAGAAGATTGAAAATCAGAGAGGTAGAGTTGCAAGCTCAGGGTCACACAGTGAGTTAGTAACAGATCTGAGATCAGGACTCAGGATGATCAGACCCCAAAGCCCAACCCATTCCACTGAACAGATGAGCAGTCTCCATGGCTTGCTGCCTCCGGAGGGCTGTGTAAGGAGCCAAGGAGATGAAGGTTGGGCACGTTCTTTGTAAACTGTAAGGTGATGTGCTCATGAGAAGGAAAAAAAGAAAACATGTAATATAGAAAAATACAAATAAAATGTAAACAATATAATATTTTACATAAATAGAGCATAAACCTGTAACACAGAAATAATATAACTATTCTCTATAACTCTATTCTCCAAATGTGCCTCATCAAAATTCCACCAGTCACTTTCTCAGGGACGTCTGCTCCAATTCCTGGGCTAAATTGCCCCCCCATCCCTGTTATGCAATCTCTTGGATCCCTGTATTTCTTCTTAATAGTACTTAGGACAAATGCACTCAGTTAATTATTTGTGTGCTTATTTGATTAATGCCGGCTTCCCTACTAGTCTGTGTCAAGTACTCATGTGTAAGAAAGGATGGGATTGTTTTGTTCACCGTGCTGTTCAGCTGGGGGTGAGGGGAGGCACCTGCAGGTAGCGATGGGGTGTGAGTGGGTGGAACAGTGGGCTGTGGCGGAGCGGTGGGTAGATGGAGGGGCTGGAGCCAGGGTAGGGGTGAGGAATGAGCCCGGGTACACGGAATGGAGAGTGGGCGGGGCGATGGGCGGGGCTGTGGGGAGTGGGCTTCCGGAGGTTGGGGAGGTAGGCGGGTCATGGAGAGTGGGCGTGGCTCGGGGCGGGGCTGTGGGTAGGAGGGCGGGCCCCGGAGAGTGGGCGGAGCTGCGGGAGGACACCGCCCACGGGAGGGGTTGCAGGCGCGTGGCGCTCACCTTGCTCGATCTCGCCCTCGCGCTCCGCCAGCTGCTCGAAGTCGCGGATGATGGCGCGGGCCGCCAGGTGGTGGAAGGTCTCGCTCCACAGGTCGGCGTCGTGCGCACCGCCCCGCTCCGTACCGGGGGGCTCGAGCTCGAAGCTCACTTCCCACTGCATGTGTTGGCTGTCGCGCAGGCCTTTGACCAGGGCCTTGCCCAGCACTGGGCTTGGGGTGGCGGGCCTGCCGGAACTGGCCCGCGCCTCGGACTCGGCCAGGGGCTCGGCCAGGGGCTCCCAGTCCGAGGACGTCTCCGTCTCGAAAGCGGAGGGGTGATGGGACGGCTCTGTGGGCGGAGGGACAAGAGGGCCGAGCGCTGAGCTGGGGGACAAATGGCCAACCCCCAGGGGACATCAGCCCTCCTCAGGAATCAGTCACCCCTAAGCAAGTACAACCCCCCCCCATCCCCCTCCAGGGAACAGACAGCTCCTTTCCTAGAACAACTGGGGTGGCATGGGCTTGTCCCCAAGAGAGGGACAGATTCACCTCCCAGGAAGCCAGTACCTGGGGTGGGGGGCAAATAGGATGCGGTAGGGGCACTTGGACAGAGAGAAGCTGCAGCCTCACAGGCCGCCCAAGAGCCAGGTTGAGTGGGGGAAATGTGGGATTGGTGAGGTCTCCAGGGAGGGCTGGGCTACAGCAGACCCCTGAGGGCACAGATACAGGCATCTGCCTTCTGGGCCTGTCATCTGAAGTTGGGCCACAGACAAGGATTCCTCCCTGTCCCAGTCAGATCCTGGACTCTGCAGACACTTACCTAGATCCCCAGGACTGCGGCTGTCTGAGGCAGGCTTCAGGCTGCGCCCAGGATCCAGCTCTCTCCAGGCCTGGGTGGCCTGGCCTGAGAGTAGGAAGGGCTGACAACCTTGGGGCAGGAGAGAGGGCCTGCGGGCCCCTGGTCCGTGGAGTTTGGGGCCCTGGCTCACGTCCTGGCCACTGTTCAGCAAGGGCTGGGGGTGCAAGAGGAGAAGGAGAAGGAGGCAGAACATCTGGTGGTTGGACCCTCCTTTCTCCTGGCCCCAGCCCCCAGCCACAGCTCTCTCCCTGGGCACCACAGCTCCTCCTGGGTCACTGCCCCTCCAATTCCCAGGGACACATGACCTAGTCTCCATTACCCATGAGAAACATAACCAACAATAATCCCAAACCATGGATAAACTCCAAACCATAGAAAATCATGGAAAAATCACACACCATGGATAATTCTAAACTGACTTATTTTTTTAGCCATAAAGTTTAAAACTTTTTTGTGTGTGCTTAAAATTATCAACCTTTTCCCTTATGTCTTCCCATATGTCATACTGAAAAGATATTTCCCACGCAAAAAATGTTCCAGAATTTTTGCGATTTCATTTTTGTTTGTTTGTGTGTTTAAATTTTTGTTTCACATGAAATTTATTTTGGTGTAAGGAGATAGGAACCAGCTTTTCCTTGATTTTCCAAATGGTACAAATCACAGCATCATTTATTGAATACAGTTTATCCATTGAGTCCCTGTGGTTTATCCATTCCCCACCTCCATCCTGACAAGACTTTCATGCACATTTGGTTTTATTTATGGACTTTCTGTTCCGTTTGTTGGTTTAATATATCTATTCTTGTGCTGGTACAAACATCAAAAGGCAAGGGATAAACTGGGAAGTATATTTGCAACACAAATGACAAAGATCATTTTCAAGAAAATGCTCTTATAAATCACTGGTGGAAAAAGATAAACTTAATGGAAAATTGGGTTAAAGGCATTTACAGGCAGTTTATAGCAAAAGTATCCAATAAACCCATGAAAAATGCTCAGCCTCATGAAAAATTAGAGCAAAGTAAATTAAAACAAGTTACAATTTTTTTCCCATCTTGAAGATTGACAAATATTTACACGTTTGATGACACCCAGTATGGTCAATGGGGAGACAGGGTCTCTCATGGACTGTTTGTGGGAGTGTAAACTGATACACACTGTGGGAGAACAGCTTAGCAATGTGCTGTCTAGCGACAATTACAACACACAATCCCACTGTTAGGAATTCAATCCTGTGAAAATACACAAGGGTGCAAATATCTGTGTGCAAATACTGTGTATTTGCTGCAGTGTCGTAAAAGTAAAACTCCAGAAACTCTAAATATTCATCAGCAGGGGTTGGCAAATAAGTTCAGGCAATAGAGCACTACACAGCACTGAAAAGAAAGAGGTAAATGTCTTCATATCAATATGGGAAGATGTTCACAATGAAACTTATTAAAAAAAATAAATTGTGACTTCTGTATTTTAATTGTGGTAATGATTACATGACATGTGTTTGTCAAATCTCATAGAACTATTAACAAAAAGTTATTTTACTATATATAAAATGTGAATTAAAAAGACATTTAAAAAGTAAGTTGGATAGCCATTTGTATAGGTGATTATTAAAAATATATACATGTTGTGTATGTATGTGTATTTGTGTGTGTAGTATTTCTAGAAGGAAACATTCAAAGCCCGATGGGTCTGGGCATAGGGGAGGGGGACTTTTATGTGTACTTTATACCTGGCTGAATGGTTTGAGGGTTTGTATGGCAAATGCTGAGTAGTATTACTTTTGTAAATGAAGAATATTAAATTAATTAAAAATTAATTTTGAGGGCCGGCCCAGTGGCGCACTGCTACAGTGTGCCGCTTGGGAAGCGTGGCGGCGCTCCCGCTGAGGGTTCGGATCCCACATACAGGCCGGTTCCCGCTCACTGGCTGAGCGAGGAGCGGGGGCAACACCGAGGGTTGCGATCCCGTTGCCGGTCCCGGTCCGGTATGGGCGCGACACTGAGGGTTGCGATCCATTGCCGGTCACGAAAAAAGACAAAAAGACAAAAAAAAAAAAATTAATTTTGAGCTTCTGGGACCATATACATCCCCCGGTAGGGGGAGGGGGTGAGGAAGCAAAGACACTTACTAGGTGTAACAGAATTTTTTAGGCCAACAGTTAACCCCAGGGTCTTTTTTATCCCTATCAGTTATTTACTGGGAAGGGGACTGTGCCTCTCCATTAAATGGGTGCTACCTTCTTGTCTTTTGGGGCCAGAGGTCCTAGGGATGGTACAAGGGTGTGAGAGAAGGAGGAGACTGGTCACTCTCAGGATGGCCTCAGTGGGAACTGGTACCCGGCCAGGGCTGGTGGGTCCCAGGGGATCCCTAATCTCCCTTCCCCCCCGTTGAAGACTGGGATTCACCACTACCACCCCCGTCCCTCCTCACCAACACCACCACACTGGGTCAGAGAGAAACCAAAGCTGCTACAGTTTCCATAGCAACAGATGAGTCTAAGATCCAGTCCTTTGCCTAGCCAGAGACTCTACAGAGGATAGTGTGTGTGGTGTGTGTGTGTGTGGGTGGGTGTGTGTGTGTGCAAGTGTATTGGGGAGACTCAGGCCAGGGGAAGAAGCTGGACAGAAGAGGGGGAAGAGATGAGCAAAGATGGGTCAGAAGAGCTAAGGAGCAAGCAGGAGAGAATTAAAGAGAAGCCAACCTGCCCAGAGCTCTCAGCAAGAAGAGCCGCCATTAAAGGACACCTACTGTGTGCCAGGCACCTTGCCAGGCACTTTATCTGCCAGTGGCTGGGGGAGTCCACCACTTGGAGTTGGCTCCCCATAAATATCTGTTGGTGGATGTTAGCTCAATCACCTGCATAGGCTCTTCTCCCCATTTCGTAGGTGAGGCAGTGGGGACAAGAGAGGTCGAGTAACATGTCTGAGCAGCAGAATCTGCCTGACTCCAAGGCCATGCCTTCCAATTGCCTCAAGTGGTCCTTGGCTAAGCATGAAGAAAGAAAAATGTGGCAGTGTCCCCACCCTTGGGGAATGTAAGGGATTAAGTATATGTGGAGGGGGGGGGGGGGAGAGGGGTTGGAAGTGGGGCAGGGCATCCAAGGCAGAATGAAAAGGCTGCTTTTATGGTACCACAGGCTCATAATGACAAATCAACAAAAAACACATTCTTAAGAAAATGGGTTAAACCACTAGTTTAGGACAGTGATTCTCAACCAGGTGATTTTGTCCCCTGGGGACATGTAACAGTGTTTGCAGACATTTCTGATTGTCATAACTAGGGGTGGTGGTGTTGCTGGCCTGTAGTGGGCAGAGGCCAGGGCTGCTGCCAAACATTCTACAAGGCATCAGGACAGACTCTGCCCCCAGCAAAGAATTATCATATCAGTAGCGCTGAGGTTGAGAAACCCTGGTTTAGCAGGATAGTTCCTACTGTCATTTTAACTCTTAAATTCTCTCTGCCCTGGGTGAATGTAAACCCTTGAGATTCACAGGATGTACAGTGTGAAGGAGGGGGAAGACACGGGCTTTGAAGGCAGAGGGTCCCGGGTTTCAGTCCCCTGACTGGCCATGTGACCCTGGATAAGTCACTTTGCCTCTCTGACCCTCAATTTCCACATCTGTACCGAGTGGGGGTAGCTGGCCCCCAAACTCCCTCCCCTCTCAGGGGTGGTGTAAAATCAAATGAGAGAGAAGATACAGATGCTCCTTGCCAACTGGTAAGTGCTATGTTCAGGGAATGGGTGATCTCTTTGACTAACGGGTGTCATGATTAGGAAGGTGTTGTTGGGTGTTAGGCAGCTGAAGGTCCAGGGTGTGGCTTACTTTGTATGTAGGTTGTGGAAAGGCCCCTGTCCATGTAGTTGAAGCATGAGACCCAGCTCTCCTCAGCCTGTGTCTCCTCCCCAACCTGCCCTGCTCGGGTACCTGCAAATCGATCTGCCACCACTGGACATCTGGGCTGGTCTGAATAGTGAGGTCCTGCAGCTTGGCTTTACGCAGTGGGTATCTCCTGGCAGCCACTGTGGGGTCACTGGCTGTGGTGGCTCTTGGAAAGGGCTTGGAGTTGGTGATCTGGTTGGTGCTGTATGCTCTTCGTCGCCGGGAGAAGTCCAGACCTGGACAGGAGTAGTGATAGGGAAGCCATTGGGGTAGAGGATGGTGGAGAAAGAGAGAGACTTGGAAACTTCTTAAGTTCTCCACTGCTTGCCTAGTAAATATGTACAGGTGCCTCACCAGGCATCCAAAGCCTGGCCTGATCTGGCCCCCATCTTTCTTCCCAGCAACTCTCTTTTCTGCTCCTTTTTAAAGGTACAATGTGCTCCAGACAAACTAGTGGAGTAACCAATTGTGTATGCACTTCCACGTGTCACACCTCCATACCTTTGCTCAAGCAGAATCTGCTGCCTGGAGCCTCCTCTCCTTTCCCACTTCTCACAATCAGTCCACTTACTAAGTCTTTGTTGATAGCTTCTAGCACGTGTGCTCTTCTCTCCCTAGGATCCCCATGGTCAAAATTTTCTGCAGCCCCTGTCACTCTGCTTTCTATCAGAATTAAGGACAGTCGTTTCTCTCTCACTAGATGAAGAGCTCCTGAAGGGCAGGTGCCATGTTTGAGTCATCTTTGCTTCCCATACTGCTCAGTACCTAGCCTTCGTAGGTAATTGGTAAATGCCCTTTGAATGTGAACTAACACTGTCAAGAGGCTTTGGAGTCAAATAGGTCTAGACTCTTTATCTGTACTCTGCTTCTTTCAAGCTCCATGAGCTTAGCCAAGTTTCTTAAATTCTCCAAGTCTCAGTTTGCTCCTCTGTAAAATGGGTACAATACTACCCACCACTGCAGCTGCTAACTATTCAATGAGATTATTTTTATAAAGTGCTTAGTATGTAGCAAGTGCTCAATATAAGGTAGCAATCATTTTGAACTCCCTGCAGAAGAGAGCAGGACAGAAAGAGCAGCAGACCAACCGGGATTGGTGGCGGAGTCTCCACTGACTAGCCGGGCATCTTTGGCCTGCCCCAGACTGAAAGGTGTTCCCAAGCTCCTGGCACAGTCTGCACTGTCTGGGCCAGTTCCCTCGTCTTGAGAGTGGTAGAAGACGGAGCTGCCAGACTCCTGAGAGTGCATCATGCTGTACCGCCGCCTCTTGTCCTGGAGGAAGGGAGAGAAAAGAGGGCTGAGAGTGAGTCTAGACATCAGGAAGGACTTTCACAATGCAGAAAGGGGTGTGAGCAAGGTATTGGGGGTTCCATCTCTGAAGAACTGTTGTTTATATTTTTAATCATTGATTTCATTCTTTAAACTTTAAAAAAAATGTAATTCTAAATAAATGCCACTTCTGTCTCCAAATAGGTAACCAAAATTAACAAAATGAACTAATGTTCCTTTCATTCCATTCTCCATGATATAAGCATATATAAATATATGAATAACACATTAGCTTTTGGAGATCATTTTTGTTTTATAAAAACTGGACCATACTACTTACAAATATCAGTAACTTGAATTTTGCACGTGAAACATTCTGGAAATCCTGCAGCAACCATTCTCTTTAACATTTGACTGCACAATATTTCACCACCCCTTATTGATAAGCATTTTCTTTGTGGCCATTTACTTTTGCCACCATAAAAAATGCTACGATAAATCCTCAGACATAAATCCATTACCTCACTTTTATTTCTATGTGTTAGATTCCTTGGAGTGGGATTTCTGGGTTGAAAGGTTTATGTATGTCTAATTTTATTTGTTATTTCTAGATTGCTTTCCAGGAGAGCTGTGACAAGTCATGTTTATACCAACAACAGATGAAGGTACTCTTTATGCAACATCCCTAGCAGTAGCAGGAGAAAACTTTTCCAGTTTCATGGAAAAGAAAAGGAGAATGGATTTGATGACTTTGTAGGGTCCCTTCTAGTGGTAGGATCTGTTGATGATCTGGTGCCTTCCAGACTTCCAGAGAGGGCCTGGACTGTGCAAAGACTTGGTCAGCATTTTGTTTAGCATGTTCTTCCTATAGCTGAACACTCCACTCTTCATAACACATTAACTGTTACCCTGATCATGGTTCTAAGGAAATTCCATAACACTAAAATATCTGGAAATTTCACACAAAATTCCATTTTCTCTTGAAAAATTGGAAATACATTTAACAGGGTTCCCATTCCTGCATGGCAGCAATTTCTTAGAGCCGAGTAGGGGCTGCTCAATTTAGACAGGATGTGTGCTATCCAGTTTGCCACATTCCTCACCACTCCTTCATGCATCTCCAACTATAAACTCAGTAGTAGCTGATATCAATCTGGCATGTGCCCCGTTTATTTTTACACAAGCCGATTTAATTTATTTTATAACCCTCTAGGCATTGAGTTTGTGACTTCTCAAAAACAAAATAAGATGAGAAACTCTTTAAGGGAGAATGGAGAGACTCATTAAAGAGGAAAGATGGGCAAGGAAACAGATTCTCAAGCAATCTTCCACATTTTAGCATGACTCCCACCTCTCTTTGAGAAGTTCTTTGCTTTTCTCCCACTTCTGCCACCAAATATGAGGGAATTATCTATATAAATAAATGAAACACAAACTCACCTAAGGAGATATGAACTGACTAGTGTGTTTGGAAAAAAACAAAACAAAACTGAGTGCAGTTGTTCTTGAACTGAAGTGTACATCATGTCCCTTAGAGGAGATTATATAAAATGCAGATTTCTGGCTTTATCTTTAGGGAAACTTATTCAACAGAGCTGAGTTGGAGCTTATTTTGGAGCTTATTTTAAATAAGTTCCCGAAGTGGTTCTGCTGCAGGGGCACTTTGAGGTGGTGGCATCCACCTAAGCAATGTCACCTTGATGGAATACCTGTGGCTTGGCAACTATACCCACAACTGTAAACCCAGTTCTAACTAGTTCCTAGCTGCCAAAATAGTCTTTCCAACTAAAGATGACATGTGGGCATGAGTTCTGGACCCCCATTGGCCCCTGGAACTTCTAGGATACTTACAGACCTGGGATTGGAGATGTACAAGGAGGCATCACACACAATGCTGTACCCCACCAGCCGTTCTCCAGGGAAAAGGGAGGTTGTGCTGACAGGTGAGATCAGGACCTCGGTGGTTTCGGGAAAGACCCACTCCACAGTCACATCACTTAGGACTGGGGCCATGGCCTTCTTCAAGGATTTGACAATCTGTTGGGCAGGGTCAGAACACAGGGGAATGTGTGAGCAGGGGTGCACACAGATGAGGAGCATGAAGAACATGTAGGTGTAAGCTGGAGGGGGTGTGAGCAGGGACAGCAGGACTTGAGATGGCTTGCCAAGCAGTGGGCACACTTCTGAGCTCCTTAGACTCCTAGAATGTCAGAGTTGGGGCAGATCTTTGCTGTCATCTTCTCTAAGCTTAAAATGCAGTTAGGTGACAACTTCCAGATACAGTGCCCAGCTTACAAGCTAAGACTGCACCTCTCCCTGGAAGCCCCCAGCCAATGGCTCATCATGGCAGAGATACTAGTGCCTGGCTGTTTCAGCCCTACACAGTCTCTTTGCTGCAGAGCTCCCCACTGGGTCAGCTGAGCCCTTGCCAGAGCATCGCAATCTAGGGCTCTCCCTGCCCAGTTTGGCTTCCCCCCTTTCCTTTCATAGGAGTTGGATCTGCCTCATGGCCTAAAGAGTTTTCCTTTCTGCTTCCTCCTCTCCTGTCTTTCACAGACACTATCCCCCAATAAACCTCTTTACCCTTAACCCCAGCTCTATCTTTGCTTCCTGGAGGAACTGACTGACAAGAGGATTTTCCAAGGGCTGAATTATTCGTGCCAAATGTGTAGGAAATAGAAGACTTTAACCTCCTTTAGTTCTGGACCATTTAAATACTTCTGAGCCACCATCTGTCATCATCAGGAATGTGGCCAGAAATGACCCCACTCTGTATCCATAAAGGCAGTGCTTACTTCAGGAGCCTCAATCCTTCCTGGCCAGTGGATGGAGCATGTGACCCTGTGGCTGGAGACCAGGAGATTTAGTGTCCTGAGGTTGCTCCAAGAGTTGCCTGCTCTGTGGCCTCCACCCCCACCAGTTCTCACTGGGGTGCAGTATGGCCTAGCAGAGAGCTCAGATTTAGGGTGAAATCCCAGCTCTACCACTGAGCTGCTGTGTGACTGGTCTGGACCTCTGAGGTTCCAGCACTGGAAGGGACTGGGGGACCCTTCCACCTACCTTGGGTTGCAGCCGCTCCCCCTCCACCAGGAACTCAGCACTGCCCTTGGACACAGATGCCAGCCCTTTCACCAGTCTGTGGCAGACATTGGGTCCAATTCCAAAGCTATAGCACCTGGTGGGAGAGGAGGAGAGAGGCCGCTACTTCCCATCCTCTCTGCATCTCTGCCCCTTGATGTAGAAAGGGGCAGAGCATGATCTGGCACAGCCGTCTCATAGTTGGCCCTACCTGCAGGCAGAAGGCAAGGGAGAAGGGAGAAAGGCTGTCAGTGGGCTCTTGCATGCACACAGAAGCAGCCCATGGACTCTCACCCAGCACAGAGTCAAAGCAACCTCTTCCAAAGCTGCCCTTTGGGAGTTGTATGCAGAGGTGTGGGTATCTCACTCTCCTAAACTTTTGATGAGACAAGACAAACTTTGAAATCAGACCACACCATCCTGGAAGCAAAGTACTAAGGAAATTGCGGGTCCTGCCTAGTCCCTCTGTCATTTTCCACATTTTGCTCTGGTTCTGGTACCCCAGCCCTAGGCAGACTGGATAATCAAGCCCTAGACTCCAGCTTAGGCTTACCTGATGGAGAAGGCATGGTTTCGCACCAGCTCTAGCACCTTCCCAGTGTTGTTGATGGCGCCGTCAGTGATCAGGAAGAGGAGCCGCGGGTGACCTTGGTGCACTGGCTGCCGGAGGATCCACTTGAGAGGGGAAAGGATATTGGTGCCACCCATATCAGCCCGCATTCTCTGGATGTTATCACAGGCCATGGCCAAGCTCTCCTGCAGAGAAGGACCACAGGCAGGGGCAGACAGTCCCAAGGGTCACCACATGGCACAGAGACTCTCAGCCACCTGGAGGACAAGCCTTTTGTCTTCCTAGATCTTCCTTCAGCCTCACTGGAGCTGGTCCATGCTCCCATTGCATCCCTGCCTCACCCACGGGAAGAACTGATGGCCATTTATTTGTTGTAATCCTGCCCAATAGCACACCATAGAGATGTCTGAAATGCTGCCATTTGTGGTATATTGACTTAATATTGCCCTTTCTGGGTTCCTCTTTAAAAATCTGAGCTCCCTGGAAAAGGGAACACATGAAGCCTCTAGTTCCTCAGCACAAATGAGGTTTCCTTTTCTGATGAGCGAGGCAGGTGGTGCGGTGGGAAAAGCACAGGACTAGGAATCTTAGGATTTGAGTTTTGAGCCTGACTCTGGCACCAACTCCCCATGATACCTTGAGGAAATCGTTTCCACAATCTGGGCTTCAGGTTTCCTTCCTGGACCAATACTGTGGGACCCAACTGGCACCAGATGGATGTCATTGCAGCAAGAGTAGGTTTCCCACTGGACACAGTGTCCTCCTGCTCCCGGCCCAGGAAGATGCTCTTCCAACATCTATGCTTGGAGGGGACTTATAAGTATCAAAAGTCTTGAGGTGTGTATGTAGCTTTTGAACCAGAAAGACTAGGAATTAATCCCAAGGGAATAATTGAGGATACATGCAAAATCGATGATACAAAGTTAACTAAATAAGAAAAAGATGGAAACAATGTAAATGCCCAGCTGTAGAGGTTTTGTTAAATAAGCTCCAATCCATCTGTGTAATAATATACTAGGAAGCCATTAAAGTTATGTTACAGATTAATACTTACTGGGATGAAAATATGTTCATGACAGACTTTTGTGTTAGAAAAGTAGGTTACAGAATAGTATGGAAAGCCTAATCCTATTTTTATTGAAAATGTGTATAAACTCATAGAACAAGGTCTGGAGGGATTTATACTGAGCTCTTAACAGTGTTTTATTCTTCTTTTTTTGTCTGACGTAATCATGAGAGATTTCTAAAATTTTATTTTTGATTATATTTATGAATTGTAGGACAATCAACATAATCTTGTCTTTTAAAAAGTTAGAAAATTATTTTTAGGCGAAAAGTGGCCCATACTCCTTCCCTCCCTCCCTCCCTCCCCCCCTCCCTCATGAAATCATAGAAAATCAAACGCTGTACATATTAAGAACATCCAACCACTGCCAATTATAATTTAGTCTTGTAAAGCGTACACCACCGCTGCCAAGTAAAGCTTCCTCTTGTGATGAAAACTTCCTGATATTTTAAAATTTGTTCACTGGGACACTAACAAGGCGATAAATAACAGATGTTCATCTTAACAGATGCTGAAACAGCATTGTTTGGCCAAATATGTCTATTTTTTCCATGTATGTTTAAAAATTTTTTTTCTATTGATTTGTTGCACTTATTATAATAGTCTTCTCCACCCAAGATTATAGAAATTTTTCCTGCACATACTTCTGGGACTTGTATGGTTTTGCTTTTTATATTTACACGTTGAATCTGTATGAGGGTTGCATTGATGGGTTGCTGTGAATTAGTGATCTAATCCTTCCTTCCTTCCTTCCTTCCTTCCTTCCTTCCTTCTTCTTTTTAGATCTGGACAGAATGCTTTAATTTTGAACATACTGCTGGGGCCACAGCCCTCTTATTTCAAATTGTAGCTTGAGCCTTGTGAGTTTCACTCCTCACCCGCTTCCGCCCCCACTCTCCCACCTACTTACTCCCCTGCCCCTTACCAGTCACTGCTTTAGCTCAATGTTGCATGAGCCTGTTGTCCTCATGAGACAGAGGCTTCAGTGAGTGGCAGGATATGTCCTAGGATATGTCCCTTCTACCCCCTCCCTCTACCCCATCTCTGTGTACACATATACTTCGATCAAAATATTTTACTTTAAAGAGAGGAGATGTCAGAAGGCTGAGATATCAGAAAACTGCCTAAACAGAGATAGCTTCTCTTTAGTTCTCTGCTTCTGGATGTGATCTGGGTTCTCTGTGGGTGGACAGCTTCAGATGCTGGCCCCAGGTTAACCCTCTTTCCTTTTCTCTCCCTTCCTCTGTTCCCCGCCCCCCTCCTGTTCCCAGCCTGGCCCCCTCCTTACCTCATTGTAGGTCTGGCTGTAAGGGAAGAGGGTCTTAAATGTAGATCCAAACCCAATGACATTGAAGAGGCAGGCTGGCATGAGGCTCTTCAGGGCCACCAGCATGGCATCCTGGGAAGCAAGAAAGTTGGATTTTCAGGATTCAGGAAGGAGTTATTGGCACTCTGCCACCACACACCAGCACTCTCATTCCCAGCACAGGAGCAGCCTCCAAACAGGCCTCTCACCCCTCTGTCTGCACCTCACACCTCCTTCTCCTTCACATCAAGAAATGTGCTGACACTGACCAGAGGCTGGACCGAAGCCATCATCATAAAACTTCTCATCCGTGTATCAGAGCTGACTTCCCAGAGCCATTCTATTATGGCTGGCCAGTTCCATTTCACCTCTTGCTGACCCTGAGAGGTAGGGAGAGCAGGAAGCACCCACTCTCTTCTGCCAAAGCAAAATTGATGGCTAAGGGAGGAAACTGGCCTGGTCCAGGTCATATTGTTGATGGACCAGCTTCTGGCCCTCATCCAGGGCCTTCTGCATCAGCATCATTAACTAGGGAAAAATCTCTAGGGGCAGTCTCTTTAGCTCATACTCGTCGAGTGCATAGGGTGTACCTTATGTGCATTATCTCACCAATCTTCACAATAACCCTTTGAGGCAGACACACTATTTTCCCATTTTATGGAAGAGAAGATTGAGACACAGAGAGGTGAAGTGACTTACAGATAGCAAATAGTTGAGCCAAGATTCAAACACATGTCACTTTGCAAATAGTGGACTCAAGATTCATGTCACTTTGCCTCCAAAGTCTGTGAACATTAAAGAGTCTTACCTATGTAACTATGTACCACCAGGAGACCTTATAAAGGTACATTGAAAAAAAAATGACAAAGTGGGAGGTGGAGGTGATGGCAGGAGAAAAGATGATGATGATGATATAACGCAATGATAAGTATCAAAAAATTACCATGTACTGAACATTGTATAATCACTTTGTATTATCTCATTAAATTTTTTTTAACGTATTATAAGATAGTGGTTAAGAAGATATGTTTTGAAGGTAAGCTTATCTGGGTTTAAACTATCTTTACCATTACTAACTTGACCTTGGGCTAGTTATGTCATCCCCTGAGCCACAGGTTGGCACACAGTAAACATTCAGTAAATGGCTATTATTACCAACCCAATAAGATATATATTAATATTAATACCTCTATTTTACAGATAAGGAAACTGAGGCTCAGGAGGGTTAAGAAACTGTGCTTGATCTCAAAACCTAAGAATACAACTGAGGTTTTCAAAACATAGCAACAAGATCTTTACTCATTTCAGCTCTTCTTTGGCACAGAGCTCAGGAATGAAGGCCTCTCCTTCACCCCCATATAGTTTATTAATGGCACCTCAGGGATCTCAGCATGGCTTCAGGGAAACAAGCTGTCATATTCCAGAATCTAGAAGGAAACAGCTGCAAGTGGATTCTGGCAACTTTCACACTGTACAGCCTTCCAAACTCCACAGACCCACACCCCTCTCCCATCCCCCTCTGCATACGTTAACATTTTTTTTTTTCCTTTTTTGTCTTTTTTCATGACTGGCAACGGATCGCAACCCTCAGTGTCGCACCCGTACCAGTTGGATTTTCAGGATTCAGGAAGGAGTTATTGGCACTCTGCCACCACACACCAGCACTCTCATTCCCAGCACAGGAGCAGCCTCCAAACAGGCCTCTCACA